CTTTCTATATGGTTCTGGAGAACCATTATGGTGTCTAATGTGTAGCCCTGAGAATTCCTTCTCTTCAATCCAATATCCAAATATTGATTCATCACTTATCTCAAGTGAACTTATTATAGGTTATCGAAACAACCACGCCAACTGTAGCGTAAGAGTTCGTTGTTGTTATGTTTGTGTAGTAATATAAGTAAAGTGATATCTCTTGTTATAGACTAAATACTAAAGGCAGTAATTATGCGAAATATCAAAATAAAATCCGAAACAATGAAAGGTACTCACTCAATGTGAGTGAGTTGGTTTGTAGAGATTCTATGTATTGCAAGTTTTGATCATGAATTGATGTGAGTTGGAGAGACGCTGGAAAGCAGAGGAGGGTACTGGGTAGTGGCCTATTACTAGTTTGGGACCCCTCGTCAGTACACACCCACCAGGGTTGGAACGCAGAAGCTTGCGGTTGTAGGCAGGTAGGCAAGCTCACAGAACATTCAGCCACTGGGAACTGACACAGCAGCTCATGAATTATAACATTTAACAATTCGTAATTTCAGCACGTCAAGCAACTAGTGTCATCGACGAGTGGACTTCGCTGGTCAACACTTCTCACCGGAACTCTAGTCAACTTAGTCCTGTAGCCAGTAAATAGGAAGCCGATGTAATCACCGAAACATGCAACGAAGTGATTATAATAGAACAGAGAATTCTCTACAAACTTGTACAAATGAGCTGAACAGGGATTTGTTTCCAACTGGATTTATACACCGTGTTTTCATAGGAAGGCATGTCATTTGTTCAAATTCGAACAAGAACTGTTCAAAGTCATCTTTCTCCACTCTACACTCTCAGACAAGCTGATATCAAACTCACTGTTGTGGAAAATCTTGTATGAGGTATTCACTTTGATTGCTGCACAATTCTTCCTAGTCTGTCTGTAGGAGTAAATGGTGCTTGCTGCATTTCTAGACAGGAAGTATCAAGATTACACATTTATACTTGTCCTTCATCATCTCATCCTGCTATATGGCCCATTTCATCGGATATACTTCGTCTTCACTCGAATGGCGGTGGCGCCAATTGAAACTGAGGTATCCCATGTAATGTAATGTAATCACTCCTCATGTATCATAAGTGTGTTACACGTCGCTTTAATTAATTATTAGTCACTTATGCTAGATGTACACGTATGTCATCGTGTCGTTGACTAATGAGTTGTCTTACCACATCATGAAAATCAATTATTCATTCTCCCATCTATTTACCTGAAGACAGTGGACTGAAACATCAGTGGTTCAACATAAAGTTTAATTTCGTTTGGGTCCCAATTTAGCAGATGCAAGCCAATGATCGCAATGATAGTCTGTACCATGGAATCTCCTGTTACCTTTCTATCTGAGTAGCCTTGTCACCTCCTCACTCGCCGTAGGTTGATTCACTTCTACTCCGTTAGTGATCACCTGTATGTCTATATTCAGGGTAGGGTGGGATTTCTGACAGTCTTGAAGGGTCCTGTTCCAATACATGCACTCCACAAACAATCTCCGGTAACTCAGCTTCGTCTTCTAGTCTCGATGAGAAGTCTACCAGAAAGTCTTCTTTTGACTCAATAAACACACCGGGATTATTTCGATCATTCTTACAGTAGAAGATCGGTAGATCATTTACGACTAATCAAATGATCAGCGAAGTTCGAAATTTCGGCGTCCCCCTTCTGACATGTGTTATTGCATATCTTCTTCACCAAGTGCTACTGATCATTCACCGCTGTCAGCCATCCCCATCCCCATCCCAATCTTCTCTCTCGCTCTCACACACACACTCATCATTTAACTAGGCAGACTGAGTGAGAAGTGAAGTTACCAAGTGAACAATACTCTTTACTCACATATCAAATCACATCACATCACACCACCGATCACCTATCACCTCTCACTTCACATGACATTTGAACTAACCATAACCAGTAACAAACTCCCCCCCCCCCCAACAGTCCGTATGATCATCGTCACTTATTCTCTTCGAAATATTACCAAGACAATTAAAACCAACCGACCAACTTCGCATTGTGTATAAACTATTAAAATGAAATTATAATTATAATTAACTTTACTTCTATGACGGCACACATTCCATTCACATCGTCAACTACTACTCACCGTAGTCTTACCACCTAACCTGGATAGTGTGTGTTTCTTTCACTTCCACTGTCTTCCATGATGACGATGATGATGACCCAGTAGTCTCTCACACAGCCTCGAGTAGCTCATCGACCTTTCTCCTGTCAATGAACAATGTGTGTCCATAGCTCTCTCACTCGCTGCTGTCTATCCTGATCAGGAGAACTCACACGAATAGACGGAAATAACGAGGACGATATTGATGTGATTCGGGTGGTGTGACACACTGGTCATCGACCTGTTTTCGCACGCTTTACCACACACTACTTCAGTCTCTCTTCCTCTCTCTCTCTCCTCATGCCTGCCTGCCTGCTGTCCTGTCCTGTAAGTTTCACACACATACATCACTAATGTCATCCAATTTCTCATCTTCCAATTCAGCCTGTTCCAGTTCAGACAGTTTGGCTGTTGATTCATTGATCGACTGATCGATCGATCGAACGAAGACGTAGATTAAACATTGCCATTTATTAATGTTATCTTATCTCAGCTGAAACAATCACAAACAAAACAATGAAAGAAACAGCAAAGGTAGTTAGACAAATGAAAGAAGTAATTGGTTAGTCAAAATGGTTTGAAATTATGCCAAAATCATGCAATATACCTAGAATATATGGCAAGATAAAATTGCATAAAGAGGGATACCCAATAAGACCGATTGTAGACTTTAGAATCACACCGACGTATATGCTATCAAGATGTCTCTCGACAATACTAAGACCAACAAGAGACAACTCAAAAGCTAGAATAACAGATTCATTTGAATTAGTGAAGCGACTAAAAACCACTAAAATAGAGGAAGATGAAACACTAGTCAGCTCTGATGTAAACAGTCTCTATACGAAAATACCCATTCAAATGGCCATGAATGCACTGAAAGAGAAACTAAAAGAAGATAATGGCCTAAAACACAGAACACAGTTATCCGTAGAAGAGATAATAAAAGGGGTGGAATTCTGTCTGACAACAACACATTTCACATTCGAAGGGAAGATATACCAACAAAATGAAGGAGTAGCCATGGGATCGCCTATCTCACCAATAATAACTGACATATTCATGGATTATTGGGAAGAGAATGCCCTTAAACCATTCAGGTCATCACTAAAATGTTCGTGGAGATATGTAGACGACACACTAGTAATAGTGAAAAAAACGATATTGACAAACTCTTCTCACACATAAACAGCCATGTCGACTCAATAAAATTCACTATGGAAGTAGAGAATGAAATTGGGGAACTGTCTATGTTAGACTGCAAAATACAAAGAATAACAGATGGTAGCATTAAAACGACGCTATATAGAAAAGCCACACACTCTGGAAGATTTCTTGATTATCACTCAGCTCATCCACTCACGGTGAAATGAGGATTAATACAAGGTCTTGCAGATAGAATACGTAGACTTACAACAACGCCAGAGGACCAGTGTAAAGAAATAAACGTCCTATTCAAAATGCTACTCGAAAACAACTACCCAAAAGAATGTATAAAAGATAATATAAAAAAGAGAAAAAAGAGGGTAAAACCGGAGAATAACGAGATGGAAGAATGCAAAAAAACAGTCACAATACCATATAAAATTGGTACATCAGAGGCAATTCAAGGACATTCACACAGCTTTCAAACCGACAAATCTAACCAAAAATTAAGTAAATCAACTGTTTAAGATCCCATAAATATGATGGATAAAACAACTTGATTTACAAAATATCTTGTGCTGACTGTCCGACTAAATATGTGGGGTAAACGTCCAGATCACTCAAAATAAGAGTGAATGAACATAAACGCCTAACCAAAGGTCAACCAACAGGAACACAAGCCTACAAGAATCTTGAAAAAATTCATCGATGGCTGCACATGCATGGGAAAAATACCACAATATCGATTGGAACAATGTGTGAATTCTAAAAACTAACATGAACAAATGGAAAGAAAGACTTATAACAGAATCGATATTCATTAAAGTCACACCGGATACATGTAACAAGGGTGACTCAGTACAACTATCAACAACTTGGAATATAATTCTGAATACAAAGACATGAATGAACGTGGAATATAACTCAAATACAAAAAAACAAACATGAATGAGCAAAAATAATGAACTATATATATGAGTACAAATCATAAATGTGTGAATAAAACAATTCCATCAGTGGTGTGAACGCGGACAGTAATTTTGCTCGAAATATTGCCAATAACAAAACTTATCATTGTGTGTAAACTATTGAAATATAATTATACTTTATTTGATCTAATCCACAATGCTCAAACATTTTACGGGCATCATGAAAACTTCAACATCTCGTTTTTCACCAATCATGAAGTAGACATGAATAAATCAATGAGTGAATGAATGAAAAGGATTGAAAATCGCACACAGACAACAGGAACACACACGCACACAGGCAGATAAACAGACACACAGACACCGAAAGAAAGAGAGGAGTGATATAAATAATCTGCATGCACGCCTCCATGAATTAAAACAAACCCACGTACATAAGCAGCAGAGCATTGTACCCACAACCGAAAACAAACAACAGTCCAATTATTCAGCAGTAATTTCTACATTGAAATGGAAAACAAATCACAGGCTGCCACAAACAACAACCAATGAGCAATGCCTGATTCCAAAATCCTGTGACCTCAATCACTTCAATCAACAGAAAACAAAGCCAACATGTCTAGCCAACACTCGTGTGTGTCCTTGTGACGAAAACCACTGGAACATCCAATGACAACATCCCTTCCATATACATACACCTATGATAATAAGTTAGACACTGTCTCTATATAATATCAACATATTTACAAAAACACGCAGAAATATACCAGAGAAATACACTAACCGAGAATAACACCACGACATACTGAAACAAATTACGGAATATCTCCAAAAACCGCTCGATTATTAATTTAATCATTATTACTATTATCATTACTATTATTATTCTTCTTATTTATTATGGCCGATACATCTGCGACACAGAATGATGAAGCAGTCAAAGAAACAGCAAAGCAATTCATACCGATGACATTCACAAAGGACGAGGTGAAAGAATTCACACAACTACTAATCAAATACAAGAATATGTTGAGGGATGGAGAAAGAAGTCAGCCATCACTGCTGATGAAGAGAAACATGTGGATGCAATTCTCAGAATATCTGCACTCGAAGGGATATCCGAGACGACACTGGACTCGACTCCGTTATAAGGGACAGAAAATGCTGAGAAAGCTGAATCTCACCATGACAGACAGACAGGACACAGTGTGTCCCGATACTCCGAAGTCTTCTGAATCCGCCACTATTCATCACGTGGCGGTCAGTGTTAATGGAGATTCCCATGTGAGTGGTCAGTGCACTTCGGTATGTTCACATTCCATAACGACATGTTAATCCTATTGAATGAAGGTAGGCAATGTTGACTCGAGTGTTCGTCAATTGAGTCTGCCGTTACTGACTCCCTCACCATGTGTTTGGATATCACCGAGACCCCACATCAATTCGACGCCTTCTACGGTCTCCACTGACACGAATCCTTCAAACACGATGGGTCTGAGAATCTTGAACGTCTACTCAATAGCTCCTATTCCCCAGAATTTGTGTGTTCCAAACGACTCAGTGGAGAAGACTGTGAATCGTACGAATAAGAGCGACGCGTTGGCTGATGGAGTTCGAGCACACAGTGGAGTGGATGAATCTGTGAGTGTTTCGAATGGTGTTGGTGAGGTGAAGGGTTGTGGTGTTGGCGATGTGGGAGTTGGTGAAGGGTGTGTTGGAGGAGGTGGTTGTGGCGTGAGTGAGACTATTGATTTGTCGTTGTCGAGTGATGATGAGGAGAGTTGTGAGGAGATGGATGTGAATGGAGTTGGTGATGATGTAGTGGGGAATGGTGATTCAAGTGACCGGGGTTATAGGTGAGTAATGATATTTGTTGTGTTAATTTGTCCTACCTGTTCTGTCATGTGATGTGATGTGATGTAGTGTGCTGTGCTGTGTTGTGTTGGTCCTCGTTGGTCACTTCTCTTGATTCAGGTTGAATTTCGAATGTGACTCAACTCTTGTGTGTGTGTGTGCATGTGTATTTGATTTACTATAGCTTTGATAATCTGGGAATAGATTGAAACTCGGGTGTTTAAATTATTTCACCTTTGTAGTTGATGTTTGTTCTTCATTAGTTAGTGGAATTGATTGTTGTTGTGGGTGTATGCATGGCGACACACTGATTGAATGAATGGATGAATGAATATGTAGGTGGAGAGTGGAAGAGAATGATGATGGCGTATTGATCGGAAATCCATCATCCGATAACGAGATGTGTTTCGGTGATTTCAGTTGGAAAGTGTGCAGTTATTTAACGATTCCTGTGTATATTGAGTGTTGATTGAGAAAAGAGGTGAGCAGTTGTTGTCAGTTAGTAAGGCGATGTGAGTGTTCGTCGGAGCTTCGGCTCGCGAATGGGTGTTTACATGTGTATGCGTGCATTCTAGTGAGTGAGGTTGTATTTTGAAGTGTTTGTTTCCACTAGTTTGTTGATTAGTTTGAGTTGAGATGAATGGTGGTGAGTGAGTGACATGAATGAGTCGGAGAATGGTGGGAGCACACAGGAAGTGTTGTAGAGTTGCTTTGCATATATCGATATGTGTTATCTAGCTATTTATTTGCTCGTCTGTGATTTACTTGACGAAGTGAATAGTCAGAGGGTAAGGCAGATGGACAGACGGACTTACAGACTGACAGAATCTTCAATATGAAGTGTACGACTGATAATGAGGTGAATGTGGAGAGTATATGGGAAGGTGATTGTGAAGACTGTGTAGCTGATTGTTGTCGGTGATTGTGGATAAGTTAATAGTAGACTAAATTAAGATGAGAGGGATTGATCTGTGAGTGAGTGGGTGAGTGTTTTTGACTGTAGTTATGTAACTGTTGTGGTGAATTTGACAAGCTTTGATTCGTAGTTGAGTTGTTTTGTGAGGATTGAATAACAGAATTTTCTCTCTGTCTCTCTCTCTCTCTCTAGATCTGAAGATGGCGATGTGGATGATGGTGAGAGAAGACGACGTTTGGCTTTGCTGTTTGAGAAGCAGATGAGACATCTGGATTTGAAGATTGAAGTTCTGGAAATGAAGAAACGCTATTGGTGTGAGAAGATGAATTCAATATCGGGATGTTGAAGCCAGGCTGAGGAAGTATGCTCAGATGAGATATGCATAATTTTTATTCACTTCGATATTTGTAATAAATTTTGATATGTATTCACCAATGATGTTTTCATGAGTTACTCTATCGAATGTTTTGCAAATAAGTTTCTGAGTAATGTGGCGTGTAATGTGAAACAGCGTATGTGTAGGTGGCGATTTTGTTGAGATCCGGTGGAGATTTTGTCTGTTTCTCCTGTCGAAGTATTTGTTGAGATGATGGAGAGTGAGTGATGTAGGCGACTGATGTTCACGTAGAGTCTAGGTGATGGCATTATATTGAAATACGTTTCATATTCTCACGATCCTGTGGGTTAAGACAGACGGAATTGTTTTTGTGTGTGTGTGTGTGTTTGATTCTTGGTGATATTCAGTTGGATGGAGTGATGGATGATGTGAATAATTGATTGATGAGGCAGTCATCTTTGACTGTTCTGATTGTTCTCCATGTGATCAGAGTTGTTCTTGTAAGCATAAAAGTTGGTCAATGTGGGAGAGTATAAGTCTTATCTATAATGGAGTGATCAGAGTTGTATTTTGATGAATTGTATTGGGGGATATGACTAGCCAGTTAGTCAGGTTATGGTGGTCACATTTTCTGTGGAATTCATGTATCGTCGTGTTAATTTCAACCTTATTGTATCCTTGACGGAGACTCGCATTTCCTCGACTTAGTGTGTTGAGTGCCTGTGAGTAGTTATGACAGTGAGTCGTCTCTCATGAAGTTAATTTTCTTATGGTGACTGAATATATTGCCAGACAGACATAGGAATAGAGAGAGGGAGATTGTATATTGTGGAGGGGTGTTGAACATGATGATTCACAGTGAGGGATGTGGTGATGGTGATGGTGACGATGATGAGAATACTCGTGGGATAGATAGGCTGGTAGCACACTGACAATCGATATTGTTTCCGTTATTATCACTGTTCAATTCATTTGATTAATATTAATATTACCTCGTCGAACTCTAACCCCGATGTATGGACACCCAGTCCGACTCACTTATCATTCATAAACTCTTCCGGTGCTGACGCACAGATAGAATTAGGTTATGGTGATATTTTAAGCCAGTTTGTAGTATCCCCTGACTTATTCACGATATTACTAATTAATGCACCTTCCCTAATCAATAAGATATCTGAACTAAGTACATTATTATTATTTATCGCTAAGTCTACTGTAGTTCTGATAACTGAATAATGATGCTCATCCTCTCTCTGTACTTGATGTGCATATAGGTATATATGATTACACTGTACACCGTGCAAATAGAGATTGCAAGCGTGGTGGAGGATGTCTCATATATATATATGTATACATAACTCATTCTCAGGGACTAAGGTGTAGGATGAAATACTGAATGAGGTACCTGATTCACTCTGGATCGTCTTACATGGAGATAGGTACAAACTTCTTATAGGCTGGTTGTGTTTATTGAGCACCAGGCTAAACCAAATAAACTGATGCGTTATTAGTTAAATCGTTTGCATACGCCTCCTCGTTTATTAATACCAATTACAGAATAATTGCAGGGAACTTCAGTCTTGCAGACGTCAACTGGTTAAGCAGTTCCGGCCCTCAACGCTTCGATGAATCACTTGCCACTGTCGATTGTTACGGATGGCAACAACACATCCAGACACCTACCCGTGATGATGGCATGTTGGACCTTGTGTTTTGTCATGACACAATCCCAGTCTCCATCTATGCTGGTAACAGATTTTCCAGTAGTGACCATAGAATGGTACTCTGCTCTCTGCCTTTCTCACCAATAAATACATGAAACAAACAAGATTCAGGGAGCATGATATACCGTAGTTACAAACATATAGACTGAGGATTAGTCCAAGAAATCATTCGACGCTGTCAATCGGATGACTATTTTACCACTGACTCGCTGGAGGCTGTAGTGTCCCTATTTTACAGGAATGTTACCATTTGTCCAGATACTGTTGCTCCTAAGAAGGTAGTGAAACTAGGTAGGCACCAAGCTGAACACATTCAGAGGGCGTACCGCAATAAGTTAAGGAAGTTGATGAGACAGTACTATTCCACTAAGGATATATCACTGCACTACTGCACTCAATCCACGAGTCACTTGAATCATCTGTCAAGCGCCTAAGCTCTCAAAACGACCTCGACGAAGAGTTAAGTGCACTTAAATGTACCTCCGAAGTTTATAACCTAACAACACTTCTTAAAAAGCGAATGTGGTCGACGAGGGACATCCCCTACTTACTTACTTCACGACACGACGAAGTAATCTACAATCAGCCTGCCACCATCTGTGAACTTTTCAGTGAGTGGTTTGAGAACTTTAGTTTAGGAACGCACCCCTTCCTTGGTGAAACCGCACCTCTTACTAGCTCCTCCTCGGGAGGCAATTCACCTCAACAACTCTTGCTTTACAATGTAGTCTCAACTACTCTGAGCGTTGCGACAGACTGCAAATAGAACCACTCTAGAAGAGGCGTCTTAAGCTAAACCTTATTTTCTACTACAAACTAACTAGTCTTCTCTTGCACTCCTCCAGGCCAATAACTAAATCCACCGCTGTCATCAGTTACAATCTTAGAAATCATGACAACCTAGTTGCTGTAGAGCATTGTCAGACTTACATGCGGTCCGTACAACTTCTTCTTCCTCAATTAGTTTTCAGTCATTTGGAATAGGCTACCATACCAGCTGATGTGCGTGATGCAAACACACTTCCAGTGTTCATCTCCTCAGTCACCAGACTGCTCAAAGATGACAATGCACTCCTGCGTCTCACTCCGACACCCTCTTCTCCACCCTACATACATATTTGAAGTTCATTAAACCTATAAGTTACAGCAAACTACAATTATACATCTCAATATTATTGGAAGGACATGATAAACATTTCTACACAGGACATTAATATTAGTTCACACACAATATAGAAGTTAGCACAACAGGACTAGTTAGTCAGCTAGTTAGTTAGTGTACCAAAACAATCATAGTTACTACACAGAATATATACTTGTATAAATTTATTAATCACTCCTTGAGGACTCCACTCGCTTTCTTCTGTGCTGCTGCTGTCGTTTGTCGTCTCTTATCTCTCTCTCTCACCACTTTAGCTTCTATATGACTTTTTGAATGAGAATAATGAATGTAGATATTTGACCACTTACAATGACAAATGATCTGCAAACATTACTCGTCCCATATCCTACAACTGACTCGTGAATTACCCAATACCTTCACCCACCACACATCCTCGATTACAGTTGTCCAATATACCTTTATACCAATGGAAAAGTATTAATTCACAATACTTCACGATTGTAATTTATAACAATTTATAACTGATCGTGCCTGTGACAATCGCTTGCATTTCTTGTGAACACCGATTTATAAGAAAATATAAACTATTATTATGATTATTATTAATAGTCTGCAGTGGTGAGTACAATTCACTTCTGGTGTTACTCACGATGAGAACGCTGACAAAACTATACCATTACATCACTTATTTTAAATTAATACCCCATTTGGATATAAATCAAGAACAAGATAAGATTGCATGTCATACACAGCAAAGTTATATGGGGGAATGACTTCAAGCTTTATTTATTTTTCCCAAGTATTTGTAATCCATCCAAAACATACTTGAGTTTTTTATTTATTAATGTGAAGACAATATTTCTATATTACTTGATGTGCTCCACTTAATGATGACTAGTTAGCAGATTGTACCCACAACACTACAGACAAAAGAGACAGCAACCATGCCATTTAACCACAAACACAATTTATGTCATTTCAATAATACTTATCCATGCCAATACAATTGGTGTGTCCTACATAGGTAGGAATACATATGGACTGCATTATAATATTATTATATTTATAATTATTACCATCATTGTTATTATTCTTAAATATGCTTACTAACCGAATATGTAATTTATCATCTTGATGATGTCTGTAAACTGGCGTCCCTCGTGTACAAAATATGAGAATATACTATTATTATTGTAAACTTCATGACAGTCGACTCACTGTCATAACTACTCACAGACACTCAGGCAGACAGGCAGGCACTCAACACACTCAGTCGAGAAAATCTGACTTTCCTTCAACGATACAATAAGGTTGAAATTAACACGACGACACATGAATTCCACAGAAAATATGACCACCATAACCTAACTAACTGGCTAGTCATATCCCCCAAATACAATTCATCAAAATACAACTCTGATCACTCCATCACAGATAAGACTTATACTCTCCCACATTGACCAACTTTCATGCTTACAAGAACAACTCTGATCACATGGAGAAGAATCAGAACAGTCAAAGATGTCTGCCTTATCAATCAATTATTCACATCATCCATCTGTCGAACTAAATATCATCAAGAATCAAACACACACACACACACAAACAATTCTGTGTGTGATGGAGTTGATGGAGTAGCAATGGGCTCCCCACTGGGACCTATTTTCGCGAATATATTTCTAGCAAAACTAGAAAATAGTCCGTTGAAACGGGAAATAGCAAATATGGAAATGTATTGTCGTTGTATGGATGACATTTTTGTAGTGTAAGATGAAGTGTTTAGTAGTGATTTGTTTCTGAGCAACTTCAATAATTCATGAATAATTCCAATTCGGACATTAGTAAACAAAAGACAAGTATTTCAGCAAAGAGTCTCTTTTCGGCGAATTCATTTTCAAAGCTGTACAATAGCAAATATATCTGGTTATTTTGTGTGTGTGTGTATACATTAAATTTGTCAAACGAAAATACGGTTAGTAAGTTCAAATGAATTGGATGTTGATAAGAGGATAGCAACAAAAGTGATGAGTTGTCAAAAACGATTGTTAAATAAGAGTTACGCAATGGCATAAATAGTTTAATGAATGAGGTGTACTCAAAGGGTGTACATGGAAACAAAATAATATCCAGAATTACACAAGGGTTTTAAGTTAGAAAAATAAGCATACAAACAGAAGTAAGGTCA